TGTTTCCAGGGTAAGATGATATCTCATTGCTGTTTTAATATGCAACTGTCCCATAGCTAATGAGTCTTCCTCCAAACCTGATGCCACATTCTTCTTCATACAGTCTAGCTGCTTGAATGATTTGTTCAGCATATAGACTGAATAGATATGGAGAAAAGATACAACTTTGACACACACATTTCATGATTTTAAACTATGCAGTGAGGGTTCCTTTGTTATGTTTGGACAACTTCTTGGTCTAGGTATGGATTTAGATGAACAAAATTAAGTGTTCTGGAATTCCCACACTTACTAATATTAGCCATAATTTGTTAGGATCCAAATAGTCAAATACTTTTGCATAGTCAATAAAATATAAATAAACATATTCTTTGCTTTCAGCCAACATCCATCTGACATCAGTAATGATTCCCTCATTCTATAGCTTCTTCTGAATCCGGCATGAATTTCTGGCAGTTCCCTGTCAATGTACTGTTCTAGCCATTTAAAATATTCTTCAGCAAGTTTTACTTACATGTGATATTAATGTTACTGTTCAGTAGTTTCCACATTCTTTTGGATCACCTTTTTTTGGGAATAGGCAAATATGAATCTCTTCCGGTCGCTTGGCCAGGTAGCTGTCTTTCACATTTCTTGGCATAGTCTAGCAAGAATATTAAAGGCTGAATCTGTTCACTGAAACATGTCAATTGGTATTCCATCAATTCCTAGGGTCTTATTTTTTACCAATCCCTTCAGTGAAGTTTTAATTTCTTCCTTTGTTACCACTGGGTCTTGATCAGATAATATTTCCTGAAATGTTTCAGTATCAACTAATACTTTTTGATATAGTGATTCTGTGTCATCAATAATCTATATTATGCAAATAACACAATCTTGCTTGCTGGAAGTAAAGAGTACTTGAAATACCTGCTTCAGAAGATCAAAGACTACAGCCTTCAGTATGGATTACATCTCAGTATCAAGAAAGCAACAATCCTTACCAATGGACAGAAATATTATGGTAGATGGAGAAAATATCGGAGTTGTCAATTATTTCATATTTCTTGGAACTACAATCAATCCCCATGGTAACAGCCATCAAGAAATAAAAAGACAGGGAACTCTGATGGCCTAGTGGCAAGAAGCTGGGCTGTAATCCTGAAGGTGTACAGTTTGAACCCACCAGATGCTCCACTGGAGAAGGAGGGGCAATCTTCCCCTGTGCCAGTCAGATCCAATTTGACAGTACACAAGGAAAAAAAAAGGGACATGTTACATTGGAAAATTCTGCTATCACAGACCTTTCCAAAGTTTAAAAGAGAAAAGATATAACTTTAAAGACTACAGTGTGTCTGATCCAAACCATGGTCTTTTCAATTACTTTCTATGAATCTGAAAATTGAACAAAGAACAAAGATGATGCAAGAAGAATTGATACCTTTGAATTGTGGTGTTGGAGAAGAGTACTGAACATTCCATGGGCTACCAAAAGAACAAACAAGTCAAAGGAACTCTCGTGGCCTAGTGGCAAGAAGCTGCACTGCAATCCCAGAGGTGCCCAGTTTGAATCCACCAAATGCTCTGCTGGAGAAGGAGGGGCAATCTCCTCCTGTGCCAGTCAGATTTGATTTGACGGTACAAGTTATTAAAAAAAAAGAAAAAACAAGTCTACCTTGGAGGAAGTGTAACCAGGATGCTCCTTAGTGGCAAAGATGATGTGGCTTCATGTCAGACTTTGGGCATGTTGTCAGGATGGGCCAGTCTTGGGGGAAAAAAACTATCATTCTGGGAAATGTGGAGGGTGAGAAAAAGAGAAGACTCTCAAGGAGATGTACTGACACAGTCACTGTAACAACGGGCTCGAGCATGTCAGATTGTGAGTTTGGAGCAGGACAGGGCAAGGTTCAGCTCTGTTGTTCACCGGGTCACAATGAGTCACAATGGACCCAAAGGCGCCTAAACAACAATAGGTAAAGATCGTAAACATTTCTTCATGGGTTTGTTGGCATCTGACTGTTTTCTTTGGTGAAGAGTCTTTTCATGACATCTGCTCTCCTTTTGTGAGTGGGGTTTCCACCATTTTCTTAAGGTGGTGGAGTTTTCTATAAATTAAAATTGATAGAAGAAATAAAGAGTATTTGTAGAACATTATCTCTTGTCAAATATGTCACTGTCAAGTATTTTTCCTAGTCTTCAGGTTCTCTCTTACTCTTTTGGAGAAGTATTTTGATGCACATAGGATTTCATTTTTAGGAGGTTCCAGTCATCTAGTTTATCCTCCAGGAACTGTGTGTTTTCAGTTCTATTTTTTTTCTCTTTTTATCTTTTTTTTTAATTATTAAATTTTATTAGTTTTAATGAACATTTACAGGGATTTTGGGTTTTCATTCCTTCATTGCTGCACCATTCTCTCTACCCTCCTCCCCAGTTTGTTGTTCTTCCCCCGCCATCCGAATGTCTGTTTTAATTGTCCAATTGCCACAGTGCTTGTCAAAGTCAGTTCTGATTAATCTCCTTTGTCAGTGTGTCCTTTGCCATTCCCTATCACTCCTCCCTGAGAGAGACTTCACCCTGATTCATAAGGAAAAGGGGATGTCGTATTCTCTTAGCTACTTCCTGCTGAAAAGGGACGCTGTGGGTTTCAGGGTGAAGATCTTCTCTCACTACTCTAAAGGGCCCCTTTGGCAGTAGGAAATACATAGACTATTATGGAGATTGATTTTGGAATTTAGATGCACTGTTAATAATTGTGCTTAGCCGTACATGTTCATATCCTTGAAGATGTATCATGGGGGTGTTGCAACCTAGAAGACACAAATTTGACTAACAAGTTATAAGTACATGAGTCAAAAATTATCGAAAAGTAAAAGAAAAGATTCTTTCATTGTTTTACAAACCCTTCCTCAGGTCCCCTCCACCATGGAGCCATCGCTCTAGACTCCTGTGATGACAGAAATACCTAGACACATATCTCTTTTAAACAGTTTTCTCCCTCCTCTGTTTCAGTGCAATATACATTATTGAACCCATCTTACTCAGCCTCTCCCCAACCCCGAGGTTAGTCCCATTCTACAACAGTGGCATCATGTAATATTTGTCCTTTTGTGACTGGGATATTTCACTCAGCATAATGTTCTCCAGAGTCAACCATTTTGAATAATATTGCATGAGTTCCTTGTTTTTTAATGCAGCATAGTATTCCATTGTGCGAATATACCACAGCTTCTCTAGCCATTTGTTTGTTGATGGGCACTTAGGTTGTTTCCAACTCCTTGCTATTGTGAACAAAGCTGCAATAAACATGGGTGTGCATATATCTGCTTGGATGTCAGCTATGGTCTCTTCAGGGTATATTCCCAGTAGTGGAATTGCTGGGTCAAATGGTATCTCTATTTGCAACTTTTTGAGAAAGCGCCATACTGCTTTCCACAGGGGTTGCACCATTTTACACTCCCACCAACAGTGAATCAGGGTTCCAGTTTCTCCACAACCTCGCCAGCATTTGTTGCTTGCCAGTTCTATTTTTTTAAATTTTATTATTTTTTGTGACTTGTACCCTCAAATCAGATCTGACTGGTACAGGAGGAGATTATCCCTCCTTCTCCAGCAAAGCATCTGGTGGATTTGAACCAGGCACATCTGGGATTGCAGTGTAGTTTCTTGCCACTAGGCCACCAGAGCTCCCTTTTCAGTTCTATTTGATAAGTCTATTTATGCCATAGATTCTCTTTCTCTCTTTCTATCTCAATTTCCATTGAGTCAGAACAGACTTACAGCCAAACTTCCACTGGGTTTCCAAGGATGTAAATTGCATGGAAAGTGGGTGCTCATCTATCCCCTCAGCATACCAGCTCTGACTGGCAGGCTCAAAGCACCAGAGACCAGCCTTTGGTTTAGCATCACCATTCCCCGGAACTCGGCCACAAGAGCATCCAGTGCCATAGATTAGGTTTGCCATGTTTGCCCCAAATGTTTTCTTTGGTGCACTTTATAGTTTTAAAACCATGCCCTGGCTCCATCTCAAGTTACTTTTTTTTAATATGGTGTGAAGTATGGATCTTGCTTAAATTTTATGCAAATAGATAATCAAGAAGAGATAGTCTAGGGGAGCTCTGGTGGCCTAGTGGCAAGGAGCTGCAACTATAATCCCAGAGGCTCACGGTTCAAATCCACCAGATGCTCTGCCGGGGAAGGAGGGACAATCTCCTGTACCAGTCAGATCTGATTTGATGGTACACTCACACAAAAATAATAAAATAAAAATTTAAAAAAAAGATCAGCTGTCCATAGGTGGATAGCTTAATTTTTATTTCTTAATTCTATTCTGTGGTCTATGTATCTGTCACTGTACCAGTACTAAGCTGTTTGTATACCATGGCTGTGTAGTAAATTCTGAAGCTTCGTCTGACACACTTTGGACATGTCGCAAGGAGGGATCAATCCTTGGAGAAGGATGTCATGTTTGGGAGAGTGGAGGGACAGCACAGGAGAGGAAGACCCTTGATGAGGTGGAGTGATCCATTGACTAGGGTAATTGGGGTAGATGACAGAAAGATTGGCACAGGATAGAGCAGGGTTTAGGGCTGTTGTATGTAGGGTCGTGATGGCACATAACAACGAACAACATTCCCCAAAGAGAAGAACAAACCAACATCACAAACAACATTCCCCAAAGAGAAGAAAAACCAACATTTAAAGAGCAAACAGACAAAACCTTTCCATGATGGGATTGACACTGAACTTAGTTTCTTTATGCTGTTCTGTGGGCTAGCGGCTTTTCAGGGGCTGCTGCTTTTTGAGCATAAGCACTTGATAAAATGCCTGTGTCCTTCTCAAGAGAACCAAAGCTGGAGGCTAACAGAACCACCCACTTTGTAGCCTAGACTGCAAGACCTTCTCACCCCCCAAGAACATTGGAGCTCTATCCACCGGACCGCGCTTTCACTGTGAAGGAAGGATACTTCCACCTGATTCTTTACCAGAATGTTTATTCTCAGCATATGCATGTGCCTGGAGAACTAGGAGGGAAGTCTGCAGCTGCCACAGTGACCTTCAGAGTAATGGCTAGGCCAGCAGAGCCGCAGGACGAGGACTGAGAATGTGGCAGTAGCCACCAGGCTGGGGATGAGGGGTGGGGAGGCTTCTGAGGACATCTGGAGAGTGTGATCCGATAGCCATTTGTTCTGCTCCATGTGATGCTCTTTCTGAGGCTGAGGCAGGAGGTGGGAGTGGCAGGATATTCCCAGCAGCCTGTCTGGAGATTTGTCCTCCACAGGGTTTTGTCCTCTGTTTTCTTCTCTTACCTGGAAACAGAGTCAGGAGTCAGTGGCTCCCACAGCCCCCTCCTCACCTGTTCAGACCACTGGGACATCCTTTTAACCAGACCAACATACCTGTTCCACTTGTCTGAAGACTCTCAGCAGGTTTCCACGAAGGACACCCCTGAGCTCTTCCTCACTCCAGCCACGTCTCAGCAATTCCTCTATCAGCACTGGGTATGTGGAAACATCCTCCAGCCCTTGAGGGAATCTGTGTGATCACGCACCACCCAGCTGTGGGACCTTAACCTTGACCTTGGTGAAGGCTTTCTACATAATGTATCCAAGGCCCATTGGCTCATCATTCCAGTCATGTATAGGGTAAACTGAAGGCTCAGGGAAAACATGTTTTTTACGGAATACAACTCTGGGGGCTCTTTTAGCTCTAGGCATCTGCAGCCTCTGCTGGCAGAGCATGGACAGCCTACACAGGTCTGCTGGGTGGAGAATGGAAGCATGTACCAGGGAGATGAGCTGTGTGATCACCTGGGGTGGATCTACTGGGCCACAGGAGACACATGGAGAACTCCAGAAAAAGGCTTGGGGGGTAGGGAGATGTCAGATTAACTAGAAACCAGATCATCTGGTCAAAGCCTGAGGCTGGGAGAACCACAAGCTGGGAGACTACAGGCTTTCTTGTCCAGACTCAGACAAAATTCAGGGAAATACTCACCGGCCAGACCCATCAAAATTTCCACTAATCCCGATGAACTCGGATCCAATGACTGCTCTGATATGGTCAAAATGATCTAGAGGGATAGGAGTTAGTGGTGGGCAGCTTGAACTGGAGTTAGACCCTGGGGCCAGCCTTGGACTACTGGGTAAGCACAACCCCTCACCAGTTCCCCTGCCCGTTCCTCCAGGCCATGACAGTAGAGTCCACAGAGATCATTCATGACCAGTCATGGGCTCTGAAGTGACTTGTGGATTTCATCACTGCCCTTCTGAGCCTTTTCCTGCCCAGCAACCATCCAGCATTTGGGGTTCCTTGAGTTTTTAATGGAGTCATGCCTGTTCTGCCCAGAGATGCAGGAGATAAGAGAGGTTCAAATAATAGAAGCAGATATGAGGCAGTGGTTTGAGGAAGTGCCAGTCAATCACTAAGATAAGGACAGAATGCTCTGGGAGTCCTAGCAGAGACAGTGCGAACACCTAGGCCCTGTGTTTGAGCACCTCCCCACACCCATCAGCATCAACTCTATGGCTACAGACCTGGATGGTACTGAAGAGCTTTGTCTGCTACCCCTTGCTCTTGGAGGTGTTCCCATTACCCAAAAGATAAGACTGAGGCCCCAGCAGCAACAGACCCAGTCAAAGCATAAAGAACTATGGTGGGGCTCACCTGCCACTGTGGACACATTTGCTAGCAGGTCACACTGAAGCACCCCCATGGACAGTGTTAACATCACGATACCATCATTCTTCTTCTGTAGGGATAGACAAATGGACACTCAGCCTGGCCTTTCCAGCCTGACTGCCTGGCCTCCTGTGCTTTGGGGGTCCTGTTAGGACAGAGCTTAGGCATGATTTCAAGGGATGGATGAGGCCCCACCTCTCTGCATGGGCGGGGTCCCCTGGGTGGTGCTTATTTGAAGCTGAGTTTCAGAGATGGAAGAGCCTGGGGTTGAAGGGAGTATAGAACTGAGTCTTTGAACGGAGCTTGCTTCCCCTGCGTTTGAGGACTGGGATGATTACTCACCAAAAGGTGTAGAATGTCATCGGGAACATTCAGCACATTGTTGCACACACCTCTGGCGGCTGAGTGGGAGAAGATTACAGGAGCCTGTGATACCTCCAGGACCCGCCTCATCAAGGCGTCCGACCCATAGGACAAATCCACCATCATGCCCAGGCGGTTCATTTCCCTCACCACCTTCTGCAGGGACAGGACGGGAGGTATCAGGGATGCCTGTGTGAGCACACATATCTGTCAGCAGTGGGTAGGGAGGCATCTGGAACCAGGTTCCTTACCTCACCAAAGGTGGTCAACCCGCTGACGTTGAGGTAGAAGTGATGTTTAAACTTGAGGGAACTCTCTGCCCTGCAGCACAGTCAGGAGAGGACAACACAGATGATTATGTCTTAAGCCTCAGAACCCAAAGGGTCTGCAGTTTCTGTCTATCCACCTGTTCCAATTCTACACCTGGAGCAAGGACCCAGGGCCAGTTGCTTTCTGGGAGTATAACGTATCTGCTAGTGGTCCAGCCTCCTCGTAGGATTCTCTTTATCCTCTTCTTTCTGTTCAGACCCATCCCAGGGTGAGGCAGCTTCCTTCCCCACCACCCATTCACCATTTCGTCCCGACACCACACTCACCAGGGCGTGCTGCAGGTGGAGGTGAGCATCAGGTAGCGTACTCCCAGCATGTAGAAACTGCGCAGTACTGAGAGGCTGCTGTCCATGGAATGACCGCCCTCCACTCCAATGAGGCAGGCGAGCTTTTGGCTGCTGTTCAGATCTGGAAATAGGTGTGTCAAGCAGTTAGGACTCAGGGCCAGAACCACAGGACTGACCCCGGCGAAACTCTATCTGCCAGCTCACCTTCAGCTGAGATCACAAACTCCAGTTCAGAGTAGGAGGCACACATGCGGTGAATGAGGTCAATCTGCTCCAATGCGATGCGCACGGCGTCCTGGTCTTGGGTCTGGCATGGAATGTGGGCTGACCAGAACTGAGATAGGTCCAAGAGTCTAGATTGAGGCCAGGGTGGTCTCCAAATCCCATAGCCTGTTGCATCTGTCTCAGCTGCCCTGGTGCCCACTGGTCTAGTGGTGCCCACTGGTCTAGTGGCCATGAACCCATGGTATCCTGATGCCTAGCTTGCTTCCACTGGCTCAAGCATAACTCATGACCTGCTCTTTGTTCCTGTGCTATCTGACTACTCCAAGGCCAATCTACCATGTCTGGCAGCCCCTCTAGCCATCAGGGGATTTCCTTTCACCTTTTGGGGGGTCCCTAAGTAACCTGGGTGGGTGCCCATATGGCTGGTCTCTCTTGATTGCCAAGGTTCTCAGGGTCTCCAACAGTGCTATCATGGTATATTTGTGTGCCACCGTGCCTAGTCACCTAGGGGCTGGCCCATCTAGGTTTATGTTACCCTAACCATGTGTGTCCCTGTGGTACCTGAGCACCCACGAGGCCATCCCTAAGTCTGTCCAAGCTGGTCTGGCCACGGCTGAAATTGCGCAGATTAACATTCTGTAGCTTGTTCTGGAAAAGCTGGGCCAATAGCAGAGGCAGGTCGTTGTTACTAGAGAGGTGTCAAGACAGAGTGGGGACACACGCTTCAGGTCCAGTAGACACGTCACCAACCCTGTTGTCCTCTCACCTTAGCCCCTCACCCTGTCACTCAGACAATAGGGCAATTCCTGAGGCAAGATGTGGGAGGGACGATTGCAGCGGGGAGGAGGTAATGGTGAGAAAGATGGCATCCATGGGTGTTGGAGGAGAGGGAGCACCAAGAGGTGGTGTGAGGGAACCTCCTTACTGGACATGCACACCAGGGCCTTTTCAGGTGCCTGCAGCCCCTACCCACCTTTCACACCGCGCTTACGCACCCGTCTATGAGTGGGGAGGCCCGCATCAAGGCCCGCGCACGCTCTCTAAGGTCAGGAGTGCTGCTCACGCTTGCTGTGGTCTGCGCACTGGGCGTGCCTGGCGTGGTCAGGGTGCAGGGAGCCGGGGGCAGCAGCGGCAGGAACAGTAAGAGCAACAGACACAGCCGGCCGAGCACACCAGGACCTTCGAGGCCTGCAGGCCGCATGATGCACAGGGCCTGCTAAGTGGCGGCGGTGCTGGGAGTCAGGTTACCACAGTGAGGTCAGGTTACCCACTTGCGCGCCTTCGAGAGGAAGTCCCAAGAATGTATGACCAACACACGGCCAGCAGGGGGCAGCCTGGCCTTTCCACTCCAAGAGAGGAGAGCGCCCCCATCGGCGGGGATGGCATTTTCCCACCAATGGGGAGGGGCGGAGCCGGGCAGGAGGGGCAAGGGCGAGCCAGGACGGGCTCTTGCTTTGGGCCACAAGCGCCTAACTGCACCTGATCAATTCTGGGGACCGTGCCAGGCGGGGCGTTTAACCTAACCGGTCTATCTGTCAAAAGGCAAGGCACGTGTCCTAAGATAAACTCAGGGAGGACAAAAACCTCTCCCTGAGCAGAAGGACTAAAGCTCCCTTGATCTTGATGTTCAGTACGGTCTGTGGAGTGGAGCTTCACTATCCTTACTACACGTTCGGTTTTAAGTAGAAGTCAGAAAAAAAAAAAATTACCCACTGGGATAACCAGACGCATCACTTTTTGATCATACCCATGCCACTTTTTGACCTCACTTTGGACAGAAATTCTCCTTTGAGACAATGTGATCTCCATGCTCAACTCAACTCATTGCTGTGGAGTTGGAACTGATCCATTCATAGCTCAGCCTCCAGTGGGTTTTCAGAGGCAGTAAATCACATGAGAGTTGACTGCACATCTGTCTCCCCTGGAGCAGCTGGTGGATTGGAACCGTGTACTTTTGCTTTGGCAGCACGATTCCTTACACTAAGCCACAGGAGCTCTGAGATGGTGCAGTAATACAGGTTGAAATCTGAAGTGTTCCGCTTTTGCTTCTGTCGTTTCCTCATCTGGGGTTCTAGACAAGCAGGCCTCCCCTTCAGGGTCGCTGGGTAACCACTTGCCCCTCTCTTCCTCTGCCTCCTCCTCTGTGTGTTGGGGTTAAATTTAGGGTCATCTACAGCCAGGTTTTGCTTTCTGAGGATTTCAATGCCAGATCCATCCTCTGTGCCCTGGTGCTTGGGCTGAGACTCTGGAAGCCACTTTCCCTACACTGTTGCTAGCTGGCTTCTAGTTTGCGTTCTGCCGATAGGGGTCGCCGGAGGAAACTTGAAAAGCAGGATGACTTTCCGTTCTTGTAGGTGCTGCTCCAAGCAGCCACCCTCTCCAACTACTTCAGAGCCTGACTTCTTTCAGTCCAGTCTGTGAGGCTGCAAGGTCTCCTACCAACCTCCCACACTGGGGGCCTGTGACCCTGAACCCCACTCCCTCTGCAGAGAAGGACACTCCTGACTTATCCCATGTCTAAAGAGTTTATTTTCTGGAAATAGTTATGTCTGCATGACTGGGGTACAGTTTAGAGGGCGTTGATGGCTGCCTGTATAAAAGGCAAGGGCCATGTGGGGAGAGCCATACCTGACTTTTACCAGCTTCACAAAGGGGATCTGTCTCCATCAACAACATTCATAATAACACAAAACTAATTCCTATTAGGTCAGACATTCTCCCCCTGCCCCCCAATGCTGGTGCACCTCTTCTACTCATGCCAATGCCAATATTACTGCTCTACTGGGTCCAAAATCCCTTAAGACAGCTCACAAACCACACAGGATAATATTAGGGAAGTCAAAAGGCTATCTAATTCAGGTTGGTAGCAAATGCACTCACTCAGTCAGGACAACTTTTGAAATGTGCTCACAGGCACCTCAGCCTTTAACCTCACAGCTTAGGCTCTTAGTACTGCCAATTATGGTTCTCCCTCAGTCCTCCAACAAAATGGGGCAAACGACTCTTAACTCTGGTTCTGGGGCACATAAGTCCCAAGGTCAGTTCCATCTCATGACTCCTTCAGGCCCAGCGGCCTCGTCCACCCCACGCCCCCCAGCTTCTTAAGGTTTGCCATGAATGTTGGCACCTGTTGTTCCACACCTGAAGACTTTCTCAGGTGGCAGAACTGAGCAGTACATGGTGGTGACCTAAGTCTGGAGACCAGAGAGATGAAGCATCCCCTCAAAATGAAAACAGCCAAAGAGACTCAGAGTTCTGAGCCACCAGGAGGCGAAGGGTTCTCCACCTGAACTAAGATAAACCTATGGGTATACCTGGTGGCTTACTGGTAAGGAATTGCACTGCCAACACAAAAGTGTGTGGTTCATATCCTGCTGCTCCATGGGAGAAAGATGGGCCCTCAACTGTGATGATTTATTGCCTCTGAAACCCTGTGGAGGATCAGCTTTGGATCTGTTCTGACTCAGGGCACCTTACAACAATGAGTGTATCTGAGGGGTTGTGCATACGATTCTGGCAGTGGCTGATGACCAGGAGGAGGCACTGTGCTGGAGGCAGGGCGGCTCGAGGTGGGTCCACTGCAAAGTCCCTTAGGCCTCTCCCCCCAAAATAATAGAACCAGGTGTGTCCCCACCCAAAGTGACTGAGGAGTCCCTACCAGATCTGATTTCCTGTCTGTGTTCATACTGTTGGGGTACCCCCTCCATCACCTAGTACCACGAAGTGGAGTGCAAGTAGCTCTTGGATCTGCTGGTCTCCAGGGCAAGGGTGTAGGTTTCGGGGACAATTAACTTGCCTGTTTCACCCCTGATAGCCCCAGGAAGTAGGAGGGGTTGTAAAGAAAGGGGAAGAGGTAGACAGGAAGTCCTACAGATAAATGGCAGCTGTTGGCAGAAGGGTGGACAAGGAGAATGTTGATTTTGAAGCTTTTACCACTGGGTGTGGATGGCTAAGACTGTAGTGCAAGAGAGAAGCCAGGCCAGCAGAGACAGACTCAGCTGAGCCCGCAGAAGATGGGCCACAGCACGATTGCCACAGTGAAGCCCTCCTACAAAATCAAAGGAGAATTCTTGGACTCTTCCACTTCCTGCCTCACCCTTTCTCACCATGAAAGCCTTCAAGTTCCTACACCTATCCATCTGTTTATGCAGACATCCTTTACTGATCACCTTCTGGATGCTTGCCCTGTGCTGGGAGTAAGCAGTGCAGTGGCTGGACAAGCCACCAGTCTTCATGTGTTAGCGTAAGCGGAGAAAGGTAAAGTGGTGGGGGCATCCGGCATAAAGTCAGCCCTGGAAAAAGAAATATCCAGGCCTAGGATATGTGATTTCTCCTTTAATCTCAAGTTCAGACATGCCGTTCCTTTCACTCAGTCTAGCCTGCTCATCTCCGAGGCCTGTCAGACCTGTCTTCTGCAGCAACTTGCTGTTGGTGGCACACCCTGTCTCAGAGCCATCCTTACTCCTCAGTGTTTTTTTTTTATTTTTCCCCCTTTTATTTATTCACTGTTGCACATTTTCTCTCTTTCTTCCCTCCTGTTCCCCAGCCCACCTGCAATGCACCCCTTGTTCCAGATTGTGCTCACACATGTAATGCATAATCATATAATCCTTCCAGGTAGTTCTTCCCCTCATCTGTTCTAATGCAGTGTTCATTAGCTACCCACTCTTTCCTCATTCCCTTCCCAATTCCCCCATGTCTGTCCTATTTTATTACAGTGGTGTTATGCAGTATTTATCCTTTTGTGACTGAGATATTTCACTTAGCATAATGTCCTCAAGGGTCCCCGATGTTGTATAATGTTTTACTATTTCATTGTTATTCAATGCTGCTTAGTATTCATCCCATTGTGTGGATGTACCATAATTTTTATCTCTATTCGTTTATTGATGGGCTCTTGGGTTATTTCCATTTCTTTGCTATTGTGAATACTTCAGCAATAAATGTGAATGTGCATAGATCTGTTTGATTTGTGGCTCTGGTTCTTTAGTGTCCCTGGTTTTATGAGGGGTGTCTGCACTTTGTTGCCTGACTTCCAGGAGTGTCTATAAGGTAGTTCACTCTGTCAAGCCCTCACTGATGGAAACCTGGCTGACAAACCAGATACAGGTAAGATTTTTGTTGTTTTTAACTTAAAGATTCCCACCACTGGGCCAATTGGCAGCACCATGATAGATGGAGAAGAGATTGAGGTTTTTAACAATTTAACAGCTTGCTCAGCTCCATAATCAACATTCTTGGAACCAGCAGCCAGGAAATCAAAAGATGAATTGCACTGGGAAAATCTGCCGCCAAAGACCTCTCCAGAGTACTGAGAAGCAATGATGTCAGTCTAGAGACTAAGGTGTGTCTGATCCAAGCCACTGTCTTTTCAATTACTTGCTGTGTATCAGAAAGCTGGACAATGACTAAAGATGACAAAGAAGAATTGATGCTTTTGAGTTGTGGTGCTGGAGAAAAGTTTTGAACATACCATGGATTACCAAAAAAACAAATAAGCCTGTCTTGGAGAGGGATAAATCAAGTTTCTCCTTGGAGGATAGGTTTTGAAGCTCCGTCTCACATACTTTAGGAGCGACTGTTGCTTGGAGAAGAACATCATGCTTGGAAGGTAATAGTGCAGAAAGGAAGACCCTGATGGGATGGATTGATACAGTAACTGAGGCAATAGGGGTAGGTGTGTCAGAGTCAGTGGGACTGGCTCAGGACAGGGAGGGCTTCAGAGGTGCTGTCCATAGGGTCCCTATGAGTAGCAGACTCAACAGCATATAACAAGAACAAAGGAAATTCCAGACATAAAAAAAGGCGAGTATATCACTCCTCCTTTACGCAGTTTCAAGAAATACCAACTAATAACCTGATTTTTTTTTTTATGCTCTCACCTAGCCCTTTCTCCAGGGTATTTTAAATAAGGTAGAGATAAAGTTTTTTTCCCATAAATATTTAAGCGAGAATTTTTAACTGATGCAGGCTCTTATCAATAGGTATGAGTCCATGTCATTATCATAAATAAAACAGTTCTCATTTTCACTTTCTTGCCGATCTATTTATCATGTATGCATAGCTCTGGTTGCCTCATTTTTTCCACTTGATTTGTCTGAACTATGATGGAAAGAAGATCCTTACACTTCTTGGTGTTACATGTCTTAATTTGTAGGTTTCTATTCCTTGAGGAAGCTCTGGTGGTGTTACAGTTTAAGG